GAATAAGGGTTTGTTTCTTGTTTTAGCATTTTATTTGGAATGCATTCTACTGTGCATTGATATGTTTATGTTATTTTACAGATACTCCACAACTTTCAGTATTTTCTGTATTTTCTCATCCTTTAAAAATTTAAGAACAGGAGTGTTCTTAAGTCTTTGTGGTGACCAGTCCTGTTTATTTGTTTCTTTCTGGTTTGGTTGTTTGAATTTTATCTAAATTCAAAAATAGCTTATGGTATGTTATTTTTAAAAGAATTTCAGAGTCTCTATCAGGCAGTCAATCTCTTTTGAATCAGATCATTACACAACACTTCAGACAAATGAACACAGTATTTATTGCTATATATGATTTTTACAGTTAAACTTCAACATAAATAAAGTTTCAGTTTCACAATAGCATCTCTGTTTCACAGGATTCTTGAAGCAGAGTTGTCAGTTTTATATGGCAAAAGAATTGTTAGAAGCTGCAGTGTTTTAGAGGTAAATGATTGCACAAAGAAAATGACAACATAAAGCCAAAAAGGAAAAATAAACTTGTCCTGCATGTAGATTATCTTACTAAAATCATCAGATAAAACCTTGATAAAGGTGTGGGGAACAGATCTGTTAAAATACAACTTAATAAGTTTGAAGTATGAGAGATGTAAAACAAGTGCTGTTGTTTTTATTAAGTCAGTGATTCAGATTTTGTTTTGATTTCTCTGTTAGAACTAGGACTTCTAATTTAAAATATTATTAGAGTAGAAATTTCACTGAATCAGAGAAGCATGAAATAGCTATTTCCAAGCCATATGATGATGATAATAATAATAAAAGATGTGTTATTTTCGAGAAGTCTACCTTTTATTCAGGTATTTCATTTTAGTTAAAATGCAAGACAGTTTATGACTTTTTAAAGAGAACCTTGATGTGATTTGGATGCTTTAATTAAATAAGGGAGAAGTGGATGATACTGGATTTCTTTGTGTTAAATAAATGATGATTTTTTTTTTTTTTTCCAGTCAGTAATTCTCTTTTGTAAAGACCACTGCACTTTAAGATAACTGGTACATATATCTATCAAGGAAAGACAGTAGAGAAGTGTTTTAAGCATGTTTATGAAGCGTTTAAGAAATGCTTATGGGAACTGAATACTGACATTATATGCTGCCAGCTATGGAATAAGACCCCAAATCTGTTTTTAAGTTCTAACTACTCCTAGTATTACTTGCTGCATCTAGGAATAATGCTAACATTTCTATGCTTTGCATTAGAAATCTCCAGTGATACACATGTTATTCTCAGATACGTAGTTTTTTTTCAGGAAGGATGAAAGAAGTTGACTAGTAAGAACTAGAATTGATCTGCAGCCTACAAAAAATTAAGCTTGGAGACACTAAATGGCTTGAACATAGGATTTTTTTTTTTTTATTTGATTTTGATTATCTCATCTGAATTATTTGATAATTTGATTATCTCATCTTTTTGTATCAAACTGCAGCACTTTTTAATCCTGAGTGTTTCAATGGTATCTTACTCAGAGATGATTACTAGCAAGGTGCATAATTGAAGCAGTTGAAGTTCAAATACAATTTGAGAACTAGGGAGAAAAACAGAAGAGCTTCTTAAAAGAAGAGCGGAAGGCATCTTAAAAGCTTTTAAACCTTTCAATATACATTTTTAAGTTCACATGGACTTATAAGCTTATATTTGGAAATTTATTTATTATCACCAATTAATTCCACTACTTATTTTGTCATTGAATCACACCTTCCTTATACCTATCTTGCCTGTCTATATATATATATATATATATATATATATATATATTTTTTTTTTTTTCCATGTGTGCATTGTGCTCATCTACAGCAGACTGCTGGATGTTAGAACTGTGAACAGTAATTGATACTTCAGTGCAGCGCATAAAAGAGTTATACTTCTAGGAAATTATCTACACAATTTGCATATATGTTTCTTATAGCTATGTGCTCTGCTGTGGCAGTGCTGTCCACAGAAGACTAGCTGAATGTATTTGAAATTGGAAACTAAATCCTTCTGTGCAGCTTTACCCTGAAAAGGATTTTGGTAAACTAGACTAGTGGAAATTTTGCTCGGTATTTTTAAATAGAATGCTTCAATGTCCTAAATTTTCCAACTAAGACATTGCTTCTCAAGTGATGGCCCTAATGATATACATGTATTTGTATTGCAAGACTCAAAGGTAGATTCCTGGGTGAATGTTTGAGAGGAAAGAACCGTCTGTGGAGGTGAACAAGGAGAGCACATCTCCTAGGAAGGGGACATTGGCAGAAGTCAAGGATTAACAGGCAGTTCAGAAACTGCCAATGCTTTCAACAGCTGATTTATGTGAATGAAACTAAAATTTCCAGGACAGCTACCCATGCAAACATAACATTTTTTTGCTCTAATACATCAGCATGGATCAACTTCAAATGTTTCCTACTTTTTGTCAGGAAACAAAGACAGTGGGCACTGCTAACAGCAATGGATTTAAACTTGAGAAGGTCATCCTCAGCATACGTGTTCTACCACTGTGAAGTTTGCAGACACTTAAAGTATGAACATGGGCAGATGGAGTTGTTTTATCTTGTCAGTGTTCTCATCGTCAAGTGAAAATAGGATTTATTCAGTGAGAATTCATGTTTGTTTTAATAGGCATACTTAGAGTGATTTTTATTTATGGTGATTATTTATTTAATTTATTTTCACTTAGTATGAAGTGAAAATCCATTGAAAAATTTGCAATGACAAAATAATACAATGTGTTCATGTGGTCGGCAGTACAAGCAGTAGATAAAATTCCCTCACCATCTCTCTTTCTCAGCAATACATTTCATCAAAATCACAAGAACCCTAATAGGTAGCGGGTATCCCCTTGTTTGGAGATTTCCAAACAACTAGTTGGGCCTCTCTTGTGTTTAGTAGATTAATTTTTTAAATGAATTCTCATCGAGTTTCTAATTATAATATCTTTAAATTTAATGTTTGTATTTCTGATGAAAGACAAACATTTTGGGGGCAGTCATAGGGGACATGAATAATTTCTTTAGAAGCTTATCTAATTAATTACATTTCTCTGTAATGTCTTTAAAATTTGAACTGCCATCATTTCATTAATTTAGATAAAAGTAAATCTTTAGTGTTTAAATATGACACTAGTGCTGAGAATTCTGGTAAGCTAGAAATTCATTGTCTGTATTTTTATCAAGTTAAGATCAAATGGGTTTTAAATGTTCGGAATTCATTATTTGCATATTAACATTTATTTGACTTCAAATACATTATTATTTCATGTCATAAGTGTTCACCTCACCTATTAATAAGTAAGATTATATGATGTGAAACTGACATAAATATTATTCTTATAATATTTCAGAGGTGGGGGAAGGTTCTTTTTCTTCTGTAACACGTCTTTTTCAAAACTAAAACTTGTGACTCCTTCAAATGGGAAGTATTTAAAGTCTGATGTCCTGTAATCTTCCATATACAATACAGGTGGAATTTGAGTATTTCCTGACATCCAGCAAGTGTAAAGCCTTTATAGATGAAGCCTCAAAAATTATGGTTGTTTTTAGCATACAAGGTAAAAAAAATATGCAAGAGGAAGGATTTGATTAAGTCACAACACAACTAACTTTGATAGAAAACACAAAAATAGACTGTATTCTGTGGTTCTTCCTGTAATCATCTTTACCACTTGTAGGACTGCTACCAGCCACATCACTGGCCTCCAGTCCACTGGCAAAGCCTAACCTACTTTAATTTTTAAAATTTATTATTACAGGTACACGGAGTACAAGTCAATAGCAACTTCTTTCCTGCTCCCAAGAATTAATTCTTTTTTCTCCTGAGTCAGTTCTGTATTGTTAGAAAATGGAACCCATATAGACTGCTAAGTTGTCACATAAGTACATTGATACCCCTGACTCTTAACACAGGAGCTTTCTCACCTGTAGTAAGAATTTAGGTGAAAGCACATACCTAAATTAGTCTGACCTGCAGTTTAATTCATGTAGTGTGCAATTATTCAATTTGTTAATCGTATAAGCGCAATAAAATACTGTGCTGTAAGCTTATATTCAGTAAAAAATGGATTTTGAAACTAGGATTGGGTTACTTGCACAGGCATACATGTCCTCTAGAACATTTTTCAAAACTTCAGATCAGCTAGTCTTCTCAGTATAAGTAAAGTTCATGTATTTGCTTTTTGGGGAAAAATCATAAAACCTAAAATATTTATTAATAGTCTCTTAAAATAAACTAACTATGCTGAATTGGAGAAAAGACTAGAAACTGAGTGAAATTTATTCAAAGTAGAATGCAAACTGTTGCTTTAGCTTGTCTTTACTTACAGCTTAATAAGATTATTCTACTCTACAATGATAAACTCCTTTATGCAAAATGGCTTTATATTATAAATGATGAGGTGTTATTTCAGTGAAGAACAATGATCACAGGTTATATTTTTGGTTAGCTGCACATGAATCAAAGCACTTTACTAGTCCAAAGTGCAATCTAGTTTTACCTATGTCAGTCTTACAACGTTCTTTTTTCACAATGTGGGTCTCCACGTTAATAGTACTTATAATGAAGAAATAATAGATGTGCAGTCAGAAATACTAATAGAGTAAAATGCTCTGTGCTCTGCCAAAGATAAACAAAGAAATAAATCTCTGTTGTTTACAGCCTTCCCTTTTCCATGTATAATGGACTTTATCAATAAAACAATACAAACTTCATCAAAGAAAAATCTTACCAATTTAGTGTAAGAAATGTCTTCACTGAGCTAATCTCCAACAAACGCTGTTTACAATAGGGGTGTATTTATTCTTTTCAACCATAAAATACTGGCCATCCATCTTTATCTCATGCTCTAACTCTACAATCCATTACAGATAAGACAACCCAATCAAGCATGGACAGTATGGTTTCTATTGAAGAATTTGTGTCAAACCCAGATTAAATCTGTTTAACTTTTATGCTATGATTTCTTTTCTTAGGGAACCACAGTCAAGTGTCCCGGGTGCCTGTTGCTATCAAAGTTCTTGATGTAAATGACAATGCTCCTGAGTTTGCGTCAGAACATGAAGCATTTTTATGTGAGAATGGGAAGCCTGGACAAGTAAGTCTCTCCACGGTTTTTGAAGTGATTTATTTTTGAGTAATTTTTGAGTAATTCTGTGTGAGAGAAGAGGGTGCAGTTTCTTCCTGACATTTTGTCTTATCATTATTCCCAAAATATGTGTCTATGTTCTTGCTTATTATAAATATTCATTTAAGATATATCTGTGATCATGTTCTCTGGTAGATCTTTCTATACATGGACATATATGTTTTATTTATTTTTTTTTTTAAGTTTTAAAGTAAAGGTGTGTCAATATCCAGAAGAAATATCGAAAGCCTTTAAGCTTCCACTGTTTCCAGTCTTTTTGATGGAGCTCATCACTTCATAAATTCATGTACTTTAATAGTTAAAAATATAATTCAGCCTGAATCTCATTTCAGACATTGAACTATATTGTAGCTTGTCATAGGTATAATTTAGAAGAAAAACTTAAAACAATAAAACCATTTTCCTCTGCCTATATCTTAGTTATTATCTCAATCTAATTCTTACTCCATTTTCTATGAAAATTGGAAAAGAAAAGAAAAAAAAAAAAAAAACAGAACTTGGTGGAAAGTCAGGTAATTTGTAAACAAGTTTAATGTGTTAAAAGAGAGACAGGGTGTTGGAGAACTTGAGTTCCACCTTTTTCTTACATCTCAGGGAAGAAAAAAATAAATGATTTTGCACGTTATTTCCTTCTTAATTTGATGAAATTAGACTGTTGGCAAATAAATTTACAAAACACTACAAGGTAAAATAAATGTAGCTAGACTTCAAAAGCAAGGTTTAACATCTGTAGCTCTTTTCAAGGGAAATTAAACAGATTTCTTAAAGAGCATCCATTTTTCTGACAAATGTACAGAATAAGGGAAGACTATTTCTTGTCATATAAATTGCAAGGTAAAGATTGAAGAAAATTTAGACTTTCATAAAACGAGGCAGTAACTGAGATTTAACTTTTGTCCAACTTGAGAAATACAGTATGTTATAGCAATTCACTGTTTTTAAACTTTATTTCTAGCTTGTGACATTTTATTTAAATAAACAGCAGCTGACAGCATGACACTAGACTTGTTAATCCAACTATTCCCGTGTCTCGTGGGTGTTAGGCATTGAATTCACTACTTTCCAAAGTAGGTTACCTGACAATGAAGTTATAAATTATATTATTTTAGTACTACTAAATGACAACCTATATAGTAGTATGATGATCTACCTCTATAAATCTGGATTGTTACTGATGATTTGACTCTCTAGCACCCCTTTTTGTTAATTAAAAAGGTGTCAAAAAGGTGTCACTTAAGAAAGAAAAATTCTGTCTAACCACTGAAGATTATTGAAATGTACCCTGAAGTGCAGACATTTCTCAGCAGACAGTTATGTTACAGTTGGTACTGAAGTTCCTCTAGTTCAGAGTGGTTTTCTGTTTGCTCAGGGTGGATTTCAGATGCTGAGTAGTTATGTTTTGTATGATATATTAAATCGTAATGAGAATAGCTTTATCCAGGGCTCAGTAAGCTTCCCTGAAGTCAGCAAGATACATTGCACGGTGTTTTCTGGATATATTTATCTATCAAATTTCAGGTTTAAGAGATTTGAAATATCTTTCTACCATTTTCACTTTGGAATAAAACAATAAATGAGATAATTGGCAGTCAGCTGCTAAAAGTGGTTTTTGTTTAAGTATTTATGGACAACTTTTGTTAAACCATATGTTATTCTTCTGCCTCATCATCACTTACACTCTTGATCTGATGGCAGATGTCTCTTCTCTTGAACATGAATCCTCATGTGAACTTTATACATGGTTATTGAGTATGCTACCAGCATGGATGAGGTGTCACTGATCCTGCAATTTATTCTGTTTTAATCAAATAACATTAAGGGGACAGTAAGTATGCAGCAGTCCAGAATAAACAAGGTTAGATTCTGAATAAAAGTTGTCATTTAAAATATATTTGTTCCAGTAAAGATTTCCATATTTACACTACTGGGTTATTTTTTCTTGTGCTCATTATTCTATATTCAAATTTTGGAATAAATCATATTAATCAGTCAAGATGTAGAATTCCAGAAACAAAATATGTCACTGCTACAAAACAGTTAATGTGAGAACCACCATTTACATAGTAGCAAAAGCCTAATTTGGATGTTTCTTCAAAGTTTAAACTGAAATGTTAGATATACAGAAAAGGCACAGTTGTGTTGTGGTATTTCAATGTATTTACATTTACAGATCAGCTTAAATATAAGTTTAAATCAAATTTGAATCACCATAAAGGAGATTACATCTGAACCTTCTCTGAGACATTATTTGCAGCCCCTAAATATATTGACTGAACCTTCTATTCCCGTTCAGTTTCTAAGTGTTCTATTTTGGGTTCTGATATAATTGCGAGTGGCAACTGCAGCTGCTGGTGATGTGACAGAATGTATTAAAAACTGTTGATGTATAACGTTGCCAGATGCACTTGCTTTGTTTTAACCTACCTCTAACAGTAGTACAGCTAGTAGGAGAGGAGAGGGAGGAAAAGAGGAAATGTTTGTCCACGCACATATTCCTGTGCTCCTTGTGCATTTTTACACGCAAAGGAAAGTTGCTATAAGTGTTCTTTGTCAGTTTCAGGAGAAAAACAGATTTGAACATACTGTTGCAGTACTTCTAATCTAACAATGAACCAGCTCATCCATTTACATAAAGCTAAAGCCAGAACACTGTTTTCTCCTACTCCTAGAATAGAACATCTGTATTGCTGCATAAAGGAAAGTTCCTCCCACACTGTTCCTAGGTCCAGACCCAGTTTTCTCCAGTAAAGTGCTGTTTGCTCAAAACAAAGCTACAGAATTTTCATACACTTAAATAGCATAGACAATCATGTGCCAGTGCTTACCCTTGTGTGTAAACTAAACCAGTATAAAACCAAATCCAATTTTCCCTGAGTCTCTCACCATTTATTTCTATTCTATTTAGTTATCCCAATAGTATGGATTGGCTTTTTCTGATGTTAGAAATCTTCAGATAGATCTTTGTCTCCCTGAAGAGGCAAAATTCATGCAAAGGGCAACATGCAGGTTCTAGCAGTAAATGGCTGGCCCTAGGTGACAAGGCAAAGTAAAAATTGTACCATAACGAGTCTAATGCTCATAGTGTTATGAATATACAAAGTAATTAAGAGAGAACCATGAGCACCAGTGTAACTACAGAAGTTTTTTCAGAGTAGGCAGAACAGTTTTGAGAGAAGTAGGGAAGAGCTTAGTAATTATAAGGAACTGTTTTGATTCAGACAAGTTGCATCACAGGGAAAGACTTCTACACAGTATCATATATTAAAGTCACATGTACACAATGTGTAGTCACATTGATAATAACTTTGTTTTTCTATTTATCCTTCTACATCATTCATTATGATTATACTGGTAATCTTTATACATATTATTTCAGGCATATTTGGCTATGTAGAAATGTAATACAAATTTGCAGACTATAATGCTGAGTTGTCCTAGGGGATCATTTAAGTATTAATTTCAATCCAGAGTTGCTTGTTAAGCAAAATATGCTCATTTACTGTGTTCCTAGTAAGTATATGTACAGAATCAAATATATACATTAATTTTTAATACAACATCAAAGTTGAAAATTTATTTGGAATAATTTCAAAAATTTCAAGATTTAACAGCTGAAGGGATATTAACTTTCACTCTAGTGCTTACAGATAAGCAGTTCAGAAATCAGTTTTCATTTTAGTTATCATTATAGACCAGTTTCATTATATGAAACACCTTTGTTCTGCATTTTTTTACTAGGACAGAAAAAAAAAAAAGAAATCTATATAGGGATGGCAGAACAGCTCTAGAAGTTCCTCTACCACATTATGTACAACAAATCAAGATAAATAATCTTCCATTACACTATCACACAACACTGACCAGTAAATCATGTTCCTCAGCATATTAAAATGTGGTAATGAGAATTAGTGGACTTTTCTCACTCCTATAGAGTAAAAGCTACAGCAGCTTTCTATCACTGTATATATATTATGCTTTTTTCCTTTTTTCTTTTCTTTTTCTTTTTTTTTTTTTTTTTTTTTTAAGAGCTTACTTTAATGCAAACACACAAAGAAATAAGGTTGCTATGGAAACACTAACTCTTAATTCTTTGATGTGTGCATGTAACACAACAACTGTAGTATTTCACTAAGATTGTCTTTGGCATATAATTTTATGTGCATTTTTAGAGAAAGAATTATTTGGTAAACAATGAGGGAAATGGATGGAAAGAATTGAAATATTAGAAAGAATTCTATAGGACATTAAAATATATCTGTTCCTTCAGAACAACAAGAAAAAAGAGAACAGAAAAAAAAAAAAAAAAAAAAAAAAAAGCAAAGAATATGGTCAGTTTCTGTTTCTTGAAAATTTCCAATCTAGCTTATATTCTAAGTGTATTTCAAAAAATTTTGGTGAGCTGAAAACCCATATCACTAACGCTTTTGGCTTCCAACTTACAGGTATGTTAACTGAAATCCTAGGGAAAGAGACTTTTTACAGTCAACTCTCCTATACAATGTTGAAAAGAATTAACAATTACATAGCCAGCAGAGATTAAATTGCATAATCATTGGAATAACAGCAACTATTAAGTGCAGTTGATCCTCCAGTCTTTGCTGTGTCATTTTCTTTTTTCCCCATTGTTACTACATTGTAGCAGTGTTTGAAAAACAGAACATTCATAAAACCTATGTGCCAAAGATACTTGTTTGGAATTCCGTTCTAAATTGCTCTTACCTACAATGCAGAATTTATGGTACCTAGTCCAGCCCTGGACCAGCTGCAGATGGGTAGTTTCCTTTTAGTTTAGTTTTGTTTGCCTCTGCAAAGAGCAAGCTGAAAATATTCCATATAAGTGGGTTCATTTCTGCAGTGGGACAGGTGATGTCTGCTTATAGTTTTCCATCTGTTTACATCTTTTTCATGCTGTGTAGCTCTCTGTTAGAGAGCTACATAACAGGTCTGTCTGGAGACCTACTTCTTTAAGAAAAAGTTATGTTAGGTCTTCTTTTTCCAGCCTTTCTTCTAATACACGCATTTGAATCATGGTAATCAAGGATTCCATCCTGGTAGATAGAGTTATCAAAAATAATAATATATTTATATCTAATTTGAACCATCAAAAACTTTTTCAATAGATTATTGGTGATAAATCTTCCCTGCCCAGAATATATGATTGGGCAAGGAATTAATTGTCTCAACTTTCTTCCTAGGATTTCCTACAAATTATATATGCCTCTATCAAAACCCACTCAAACATTTTTACATACATAATTTGAAATATTTAAGTTTTGGTGCTAGTACTTGTCATTATCTAGTAAGATTTTATTCTTTGAGTCTTGAAGAACACAGAAGGAGGACTGTGATACTGAGTGCTATTGTATATGTAATATACATACTGATAGTCCTTTCCCTTGCCATAAAACCAATATAAAATATTATTTATTAACATTGTGTTAGCAAAATGTTCAAAAAGTTCAAAAGTGTATGAATTTGGACAGAATCAGATTTTTTTTTCTATTTTTATTCTAATATTTAAAAATGAAATTTATACTGTTGCCTAATTTGAAATTAATTTAGCCTAACAAATTTTGTATCCTAACTTTAGTGCCCTGCATTATTTTGTGAATCACTTTTTAATAACTTTTCCAAAGCAAACTTGTGTTCGTAATACAGGAATAACTGAGATTTTATTAAAACTAAAGGGGAAAAAAAAAAAAAGTTTTTTTAAAACTCCACTTACAAAATTATATATTTATAGTTAAGTTATTCATTTTATAGATATTCACATCTGAGGAAAGGATTAAAAATATATTATACATATTGGTCCAGTAAGTAGCATTGCTATATAATGAAAGACTGCTGTAAGCATACTGAGTATTTCTGAATCACATTCTTCCCTTTCTTTATTGCTGAATAATGATTTATTACTTGCCTAAACTGCAGCAGTTTTTACTGGCCTGTCTTATATACCCATCTTTCCTTGCAATCTGCCTCCTCTTTCTGGAAACAGTTTAGATCCGTAGTCACCATTTCTCAGATTTTCAATCTAACATCTTTAATAGCCTTGCAAGCTTATACATTTGCACTTTTAGTCTGACACATAGAGAAGTGAGAATGTGTTCTATAGAATGGAATGTTCTTTACAATATGTATGTTTAACAGGGGTGTGAATATATAATGAGACCCTTTTCTGTTACAGGTAATTCAGATTGTCAGTGCTGTTGACAAAGATGATCCTAAAAATGGGCATTACTTCCTATATAGTCTTCTTCCCGAAATGGTCAACAATCCAAATTTCACCATCAAGAAAAATGAAGGTAAATATAAAGTATATGTACTGTGTACCTGAATTAATTTGGTTGAAATTGCCTTGTTGACTTCCAGTTACTTTAGCAGTTTGTCCCTTGGGCAATTAAAATATAGATAATCTGTTTAATGGTACCTTAATTAAATCTCTTAAACTATTGCCAGTATTTTTACAGTAGATAAGAAAGTAAATTGAATACTGGATTTAGATCCAGAAGACAGCTCATTGCCTTAAATAAAAATTTGTAGGATGGATTTGCTGCATGTTATATTGCTGTTACGTTGAAATTCCAGTGATACACTGTAAGGTGAAAATCTGAAACTATGTTGATAAATAATGTTGGTCTTACATTGACTGGATATAGATGGGAACATAAAATTAAATATCTGTTAAATCCCCCAAAGGAAATGCCTTTTAAGCCTGTTCGTTGTCTGCATGAAGGTTCCAGAGTATTTCAGTCAAGCACTTTTACTAGAAAGAGGAATCTGCTAGGTCAGCAAAGCCCAGAAGTGTATCACTATACTTCACAGCACTTCTGGAAGGGCATAATATCATTTTATAGTACTACAGAAGTTGAATTTCATGCATGATGGAAAAAAATGCCCATTTAATATTGTTAAGCAATAGATTTAGACAGGTACTTTTTGGGGCACACATATACTTGAAGATCATGTGAGAAAGAGCTGGGAAAAATTGCAAATGGTGCTATATGTACTTGTATTTTTTTTGAATATTTGGCAAAGATTTTTTTTTTTTTTAATTAAATAGCACCTTTTCAAGAATTTTAGTTAAGTTCAGTCTCTTTTTTCTCTTATTTGAAATGATAACGAATGAAATCTGTATTACTAATAGGAAGATGTATATGTGAGCATTGTATGTGCATGAGTGTAAAAGAAATCTAGGAAATGTCAAACAAAAAGAAAATATTTTCATTTTTTATTATTCTAGCTGTTTATTATTCTAGCTGTTCCAACCAAGATGGCACCATTTTTTTTATATGATACTATAAAAACCTAAGTTCTTAAATCTGTTAAAATATATACTGTTTTTTTGCTTTTCATTAGATGTTTTCTCTTCCAGCTTTCACCAAGTTTGTGTCTACTTATATTTGTACTTTCATGTACTTAATAAATCCTTCTATGTTCTCTGCAATTGCTGGAGAAGATTTTTAAAAAAAGCTCTTCAAAATCCATTTCATAATCATCAGTAGTGTAAATTGAATTAAGCATCCTGAACGTTAGTCGGTTTGGACCACACAACATGACAAAATAAACAAAGGTCTTAGCATTTCTCTTCATGTTTAAATACTTAACTCACATCACTAATTAGCCTTGTCCTTCCAATCTGTTACCCATATAAGACCTGCTCTTACTTCTAGTCACAGCCAATGGCAAAGTGCCTCCTGACTGGAGTGGGTGTGAGGAACCTTTCTGTATAACATTTTAGTCCAATTTTATTATAACATTGCTACACTTAGTTTTACGCTGGTAATTTTTTGTGCATTTTAATTGGTTAAATGCGTGTAAATCCTTTTAAAAAAAAAAACAACTGAAATCTCCTGGAAGCAAAAGTGCACTTGAAAAGACTTTTCTGATATAATCCTTCAGCATGCAAAGATAAAATTTCCACTATACATATCATTATTTTCTAACAACATTGCTCAGCAAGGGATGCAGTCCATGGCTGATGCTAGAACATGAACTCCCACAAGAAGCAAATATTCCTGTCAAAGCCAAATCAGGGTATAATTTGGTTGGGGTAAGGTTTTATATCATTTAAACATCATAAATCCCTACTAAATCTTTATTTAGTTCTGCCACTTAAACACTGAACTTGAACATGGCTTTGGCTTGTGTATATCTGCCAGATAAGCATCAATGATTATTTGTGTTGAACTAACTAACTCCATCGATCCTAAAAAACAAAACAAAACAAAACAAACAAACAAACAAAAAAAAACAGAACTGAAAGAAAATAAAAGAAAATAAAGAAAATGCCTGTAACAGAACCTGCTCTCATTTCTGGAGAAAGGTGTTTCTGAGGATTAGATCAGTGCACAACCCACTTAGGCTTGGAACTGGAAAACATTTCCTGACCCTGGTGGTCAAAATCCTTGATGTCTTCCTGACTGTGACACCGCAGCCTTGACTTCCTTTCATGTTCCTGGCCCTGTGGATTAATTCAAGGCAGCAAAGATTGCCATGATTCCTGCAGAAGAAATGCTATCCTCTTATGGATCTTACAAATAGAGTCCATTATCTCAGGAAATAAAACACAGAAACCCGATCTTTTATTTGCCAGCATTAGTGATTTTTAAAAGTTATTTTTCATATCTTGCCTTTCTCAAAATTCTCTCAAGAGCAGAGGTAACAAAAAGCACCCCTCAAGAAATTTTCTGAATTAATACTGTCCTTTTGGATTCTTAGTTTGTGCTTTAGATAGGATTGTGGCATTTGGCAATTACTTCTGTACTTCACAAAATAATGATCACAAAATTTGATCTGTTGGCACTAGTATGCAAACAATGCATTTTAGCATCTGCTGGGGGAAGAAGGCTGCAATGCTCTGTTTCTTTCCCTCATACTAAGATGGAAGTATTTTGGAATTTTATCTTGCTTTATGGGATATAAGCTTAATCATTAACTCATGTACTCTGTTGTCTATGAGCTAATTCTATCGTTACTACTTTCCAGATTGCCCTAAGGCAAGTTCACAAGATACTTCAGTAATTAACTGTGCTCCCCAATTATACTACAAATATTCTGATAGACTACTTTGTGATTGCCAATCCATTTAACTGGGTGACACAATGGTATGTCTTCATCAGAAACCAGAAAACAAAAACAAATGCTATTTCCCAAAGATTAAATTATGTTTTGTAAAAATTATCCTGTGATCATAGCAGAATCTGTTCCTTTAATGGATATACCAACATCCTTTCTTTCTTTGTGCTGTTAAACTTGCATATTTACAATGTCTTCTGTGTAGACAGGATGTTCTAAAATAACTGTAGAGGCTGTAGTGTCTTTCTGATGTAAGTAATGTAAAAATGTAAGTTTAACTGTCATCATACATCTCATCAAATGTCTGCAGATCATCTCTCAGTGATCTTTATTTCTCATATCTCCTGATCTGTTCCTCCTGTTCTTTTTCCAGCTCAAATGTCTGCTACAGAGTAGTTTTTCTTAGGTTTTGTGCCTTGGCTAAATGGGCAACTACTGATAAACTGAAGGAAAACAATCTTACTGTCTCAAATTGTTATCTAAGGAACACATTTGGCCTACCAGATGCATAAACTTTTATCCCTTCACAAGAGAAATAATTAAATAGTGGTAAAATTGTAAGAAGTTAATGGAACAGAGGAAATCACGTAATGTTTTCTCTGTTGATCCAGGTGACTAAACCTGTGAGTCTGTGCCATATCAAAACCTTGACTGCACAAACTCAGACAGACTGCCTGATCGCTTACATTTCACGTCTCTATGCTGGGTTTCTGGAGAGAAGCAGAAATGGGAAAAATGATAATAAATGTTTTGTGTAGTGCTTCTGACAAACTTCAAACCAGCAAGAACCTAAAACTTAAGATGAAAATATCTGATGTTTAGACAGATGTTGATACATTCTAGCAATGTGTTGTTGAATCCTTAGCTGAATGTAATTAACTTGCACAAAAAGCTGTAGGAGCACAACGAATAACAAAACACTGACAGGAACTTAGATGACTGTTAAGTATTTTGTACTGTCATGGCATCAGTAAATTGAAATGAGACCTCTGGAAATGGAATTAGCATTTATTGACTGTTTTTTCAGGTGAGTGGTCTTCGCAAAGCATTACCTAAAATCTAATGCCAGTACATTGATCGTCTCCTGCATGCCAAACAATACACTCACAGCAATACCTGTTGTCAGCATCCAATTCCTACTGTTCGTATAGTTTCCTTAGTTTATTCAAGTGAGAACAGAATTTTTTGCTAAAAGCATTTTCACAGATGTAAACATTTTGATATGCTGCCAATGCAATTTTTACTTTCAAAAACTAGCAAATACATCTTTGCCATAAAGTGACTTGAAGTTTTTCCCAAAAGATGTTTCCATTGCATTTCCATTTTTCTCATGCCAAATTCTGTTTCCTAACAGAATAAACCCTGAATAAAATGTTCTACAGTGCCTTTGATGCAACAGCTATTCTGGCAGAAGTAATGGTGCATCACTACTGTGTAAATGTGGTATTACATACCTCTAACTAGGGCTCATTTAGGAGCAGCAATCACAGGGTTGCTTGGAACATGGGCAGACCTTGTCCTTAGGGTTAAGAAAACCAACCTAATGGCACACATTTGTATTCCTGCAGATGTCCAATAGCCTTATAAGTAATCAGCCTGCCCTCTCCCCAAAATATTCAATGTCTTTCTGGAGCTCTGATTTTGGGCCAACCTGATTATCATGAGTGCAACAGAAAGAAAGAGTTTCTTTTGGTGGTGGTGGTGTTTTTTGTTTGTTTGTTTGTTTGTTTGTTTTTTTCAATTGAAACATATACTTCATTGTACTTCAGTGATGAACTGTTCCGTTCATTCTCTGTATCAAACTTCATATTTATGCTTAACCGTGAATACTCTATTACACTTACGATACCTGTAACAGCTCCAAGAATATTCATGTTTAAATGCCCATTTCTTTTGTTCTTTCAATCTAGCAAGTTTAATCTGTCACTTGATCTGTGCTGCCTTGAAAGTAGTAGGCAATATGTCATTCACTTAAAAGGAAACAGCCTGGTATTATAATCACTTCAATCACTAACCGGCTTGCATGCCTTTGGACACTATTGCACATCTTATTCAAAATTTGCTAGTTTGCATCACTGCCTCGCCATTAATAAAGACATATTTCTAAACTATTTAGAAATTGCTAGAGAAGATAATTCGTGCAACCTCTCTTTTTGATGTCCTAGGTAAGAAAATAAAAGCAACTGATCAGAACCACTTAATTTTTTAAAGTATTTCTGTTTCATGG